CTGCTCTAGGAAGCAGATGAAGGAGTATCAGAAATACTGATATCATGTTCCCATTGTCTGAAGTCATCAGTGCTGTGGGCTGCAGTGGAACTTGTCTTGGTAATTTAAAATTCATTCTCACACAGCAAACTGCCATGAAAGGTGCCAGTCTGGCCATCAGGAGACATTCAGATTTCAGTGTCTTGAAGCACCGAATGTGTGATTAACAGTTCATTTTCTCTGCTGAGTCTGGAAAATTTTGCAAATATTGTGTTTTTTCACAAGAAAGCAAACACAACTTATGACAATTGTGGCGCACTTTACAGCTAACTCATAAGAGTTAACAGGATAATGCTTCTCCAATATTTGAACCCAGAAAATTAGAGTTAATGGTAAATGCAATTTAGATGTTAACTGCATACTTTTGACATAAAAAATGCAATGACACATAAGTGAGCAGAAAAATCCCAGTGCGTCATTGCTTCCCAAAATTCGGATAACGTCATGGAGGAGTATGAGGCGGTTGGGGATGTCTGCTTGTCTCCAGGAAGATTCATTCTCCTGCCTTTTACCCCTTGAGCCAAACTCTTTTCCTTTCTCAAGTGTGCATGCAAAGCTGAAACAGGATCCAGGCCCTTCCCTTGTATACAGAAAGGAAAAAAGCCACCAAGAGAGCCAACAATGATGGATAAGTGAGCAAAAGAAACAGAAAGGAGGGAAGACGCAAAGGATGAGTAAGAAAGGCAGTCTGAGAAGTTGAAGATGGGTCAGCAGAGTTCAGATGCCCCTGGGACAAACAGAGACTGGGTTAAATTGCTCACACTTGAACCCTGACCTATTTATTGATTCACTTTTCAGAGCTGGCTTACCCAGGAAAAGGACCACGCTCAATTCATCTTTATTAGACCTGCTTCTATTAGTGAAAAGAAGCAGGTCTTTTGAATGTGCTCGAACCAATCAGTAATCCACTTTGACCACAAGGCATCTTGGACTAAATCTGTGTGGACTAATAATCACATTGGTGAAGAGCAACAGTGCTTTGTTCACGAACTAAAGGTGAATTCTGTTGTTATTGTGAGCAGTTACAATCTGTGAAAAACCAGCATATTAACGTTATTAAGGGAACTCAACAATTGATTGGGTAATGCTAATCAGCAGCTCATTCATGTATTTATATATAAACACATACAGAACTGTGGATAACAGCCAACAAATCAGGCTGTCCGAAGTTGCCTTTCTGCATGTGGTTCACAGCAGGGAGCGGTCCACTTCAGACACATTTGCGCTACTCGCAATACTTGTTTTGGTTTCGGCAAGGGTGGAGCCTGCTACAGCGTGCAGGAAGCACGACACTCCAAACTGTGAATTCACTAGACAATTAACTCTGTTTCTCTATGAGCTCAGTCCAATTTATTGTAACGTGAACTCTTGTACTGTGGAGCTGGCTGGTTACAGACCTCTTTCATCTATTTGAACTGTATTCTGATAATGACCCCACCAGAATATGTCGTTCTTTGTGGTAAATGGCCTGTATTTGTATAGCGCTCTTACTAGTCCCCCCTAGGGACCCCAAAGCACTTTACACACCCAGTCATCCACCCATTTACACACTGGTGGAGGCAAGCTACAGTTGTAGCCACAGCTGCCCTGGGGCAGACTGACAGAAGCGAGGCTGCCATATCGCGCCATCGGCCCCTCTGGCCAACACCAGTAGGCGGTAGGTGAAGTGTCTTGCCCAAGGACACAACGACCGAGACTGTCCGAGCCGGGGCTCAAACCGGCAACCTTCCGATTACAAGGTGAACTCCCAGCTCTTGAGCCACGATCGCCCCATTGTGGACAGTTTCACTTTTATTTTGGACAGAATAGTAGAATAGACAGGAAAAGGGGGAGAGAGGGCAGAACTCAAACCCAGGCCTCCTGCAGTAGCTTTTGGAAATATAAGTCATCCACTCAGTCAGTGAGTTGCCTTTGTTTTTGAATACGCTCAGCAATCAGAGGACCAACAAAGTAATAATTCTTCCCAACAAAAGTCATTTAAATTTTCTAAAAAATTTGGTTTTTGGTTAAATTTGGAAACTTGTGCTAAGATCATCAGCAATGGTGACTTGTATTTTAGAGTTACACAAAGAAAGAATATTTTAAGAAATTACAAAATATCACCCTACTGTGTATTTTTGTTTAAGTACATGGCCAATAGGTTAAAAAAAACTGTAGACATTGTCTAAACCTAACATTTAATAGATCAGTGGCAGTTTGTTAGGTGTTATGAGTTTAAACAATGAACTATTCCAAACCTCTTCATCTGCATTTTTTTAATGGCAAAACCATCAAGTCTGTGCTTTTTAGGCATTTTAAAGGCTGACACAGCAAAAAGCCTTGACATGTGACTTACTTTCTAAAGCGTTACTTTAATAATGACCTAAATGTAACTTTCCTAAACTATTAGGAGGACCTTTTGTGAGGGAAATGCAACAGGCAAGACGTGGGGAGATTTTTTTTCTTCCAATTCTCTACAGCAGTTTAGAGCCACAAGAGAGAGAAAAAAACTACACTTTGACAAGTAGCACTGGCACGAATATTAGCCTCTACCTCACCAGTTTACACACACGCACACACATCTCCCAACAGCTGACAAGTTTCCAGGCAGACTCGGGCCTCTCCAGGATCTCACACACAAACACACGCACACATGCATGCCTGCACAAAAACACACACTCCTCTGAAAGAGAGTCAGCATTATTTTGTGGATTTGTTTTGGTCTGGTGCAAAGCACAAGTCTCATTGGCTCTGGTGTGCCTCATAAACACACACACGCACGCGCGCACACTTAGATGCACACACACTTTGTACACAAAGAGCAGAGGCCAGAGGCAAACCAGCACATGCAGACATGCAAACAATCACACACAAAAACACACAGGATGAAAAACACACAACTCAGAAAAACTCTCACACAGTATAAACACACTCACACACACACAATCATGCACACATAGAAGGAGGTTGCAAATATTTACCCACTCACCTCGCCTGCAGCAGTCCAAGGGCGTCTCAGTCTGTGTTGAGGATGCCGATTAATGTGTGTATGTGTGCGTGTGTGTATGTGTGTGTGTATGTGT